CCTTTTTAAAGTCGAAACAATGCTCTATCTAACAAAAAAAGAATTAACTTTCTATCACTTTCTGTTCAAATACAACAGAGTCTGACATTTTTCCAGGAACTTTTGCAACACCCGTTAAGTATGTTTTCATAACAACCGTAGACATTAAGCATGATACTTCTTTCTCATAGTTTCCTAGCAATGAAAACAAGACTTACACTATATGAAGTGATGCACTGATTTGTACAGTCTTCACAAGATCAACATAAAAACCTCGAAACGATTGAGGGGTAAATTTGCGAAATAATCAAGGTGGGCGTTTCTGAACTTATCGAGATGTATAATATTGCGCTGAATACTTTTTTTCCTACTTATAGTAAATATTACAAGAAGTTTATTGGTCAATTCATCTAATACTTATAATAATAACGATGTGACATTAAGAAAAAGAAAAATAATGAACGAATAACAGCAAGGCCAATCGAAAATAGAGCTTTAAAAGAAAGAATCGAGAAAAAGCTCTGTTCAAAAATGAATAAATAAACGAGATAGATCGTTGGTCTGTCTCAGCTGTTTATCTGGGAAAACAATTATAGTTTTCCAGAGATTTTTCAAATCACCTATTTACTTATTACCACAAGAAGACTAAAAACACATGTAAATTCCACCATATTTTGCAATCAGTTATCGCTTGTTTAAGTTTTGATAGATGTACTGAGTGCATCAAATGTCGATTTTTCAAGTATTAATTATATCATCTTTCTCAGCTTCATTAATATTAAAACTCTTATGAGTAATTTTACTGTATAAAATTTCCTTTCTATTGATTTTTTTTAAACCATTAAATGGTCTTGAATATGCATGACTAGATCAAATACAAACAAAATATGTAGAACAAGAAAATAAAACTACAACTAGCTGGCTCAGAAAAAAAACACTAGCAACCAAGTATTAGGTAATATGTGCGAAAATAAAAATATGTTTTTTCTGTGACTATGTGAGTCAAATAGAATGCGAATGATGTCTTTTTTATTCATTTCAGTGACTAACATAGAAAACGTGACAATAAATTAAAATTATCACAAAATAATTTTTCTTACTATATGATTCCCTCGTATATCATGATGAATTTCAACCTGTACCAGAGAATTTAGAATTTTATAGAATTTTGATAACATCAAAACATTTTTTTTTTATTTTGCTCGGGAGTACAACTATCGGAACGGTAAGTTTCCGTATCCTCAAACTAAATTTTTGTCATCACAGCTCTAGATTCTCATTTCGGAGTGATTCACCGGTTGCCACTACCAAGACAAAAATAACTGTCGACTAACATTTCTATGCAGTCTAATAGAATATCTTTCTCTGGTAAATAGTTGCAAACTTGTCGAAGTTTCGAATGAACACTAATGAAACGATGATTTTTAAGACACAAATATTTTTAAAAAAGCATTCTATTATAAAAAATCAGTCTACTTACTCAATACATTCTTGAAGATTATTTCGTAATTCTGCTAGTGATTTGATATGGGGATTGGATATTGGTTGTGTATATTGCCAAACTTCTATGGCTTTATCATACATCTCAATAGCCTTTGCAAAATCTCCTTTCATATGATAGACTCCAGCTATGTCTGCATAGCTGCTTGCAATCTTTGGATCATTGACTGGCTCATATTTTAATTTAGCATTCAGCGCCTCATTATAATATTTAAATGCTTGCATATAATCTCGCATTGATTCATATATTCTTGCAATATATTCACATGAAATGATGCGATAGGGAAGATAAGTAGTAAAATGTGTATCAATCAATTGTAATGCTTTTAAATGATAATCCAGAGCTACTCCTTTCTCATTTTTCCTTAGGTAGACTTCTCCAAGAGCATGAAAACATCGTATTATTTCATCAAACATATTCAATTCTTGATAAATTTTGAGTGCTTGAAAAAAATAATCCAAGACTGAATCGTTGTCAGATTTCAGTGTTCTAGAAAATATTGTTCCAATGTTAAACATTGTATCTGCAATTTCATCATGAGCATCATTAATTTCTCGTTGAATTTCTAATGCTTTCATTTGATATTCAAGAGCTTCTGATATCGAATCGATTTCTAAATAGTTCATACTAATATATTTATAACTACGAAGTAAAAGTTCAGGTCGATCTTGAGATTGTTCAATGGCTAAACAGTTATAAGCCAATGATATATCATAATCTCCTTGTTTTCGAGCAACATTACCTAATCCCCAATAGCAATTCACTGTAAGATCAATTAATGGAATTTTATTGATTAATTCTTCGTCAAGTAATCGTGCATAATATTTCTTAGCTTTATCGAATAGATTCATTCGAAGTAATACAGCAGCTAAGGAAAATGGTGACTTTTCCTTGGATGCAATATTTTTATCTTCTTGATAAACATCATTAAGTTCATAAGCATCATCATTACATAAATGTAATTCAATATTCCATGTATTAGATAATTCAGAAAAAGTTGTTCTTTTTATTTCGAAGATAGATCCTGCCATGAATAAAACTTCTCGTTCTTCGAAAAATTGACTAATACTTGAAATGTTCGCAAATGGTTTTGAATTGACAATATTTTTATTAACATGAATTTGAAATATGACATGTTCTCCTGATGGATCTCCACTCAAACTAAAAGCTTCCGCTGTTGTCTGTTCGAATGTAGTCGATATAAAACTATTCAAAGATATTAATTGACCAACATTTTCTTGAATAGATTTTAATTCATTCATTGATATTGTTTGACCACGATAAACAATCATGTCGATTCCACATGATGTTTTTTCATAATGTAATTTTAATTGATCAAATATATCTTTGAGAAAAAATCTCAAAGAAAATAAAACGTCAATGTCTTGAGTCCGTAATCCTTTATTAATGATATCAAAAAAGAAGCATTCACGAGTGTACCACCGAAGAGCATTTTCTGATCGATAGCTATTTTCGAATTCTTCGATTTTTTTCTTCTTTTTGTCGATTACCATTGAAATATCGTTTGTAAATATCAATAAAATCCATTTTTGCTTTTATACGATCATCTGTATCGAGCAAGATATTAAGAATACGTTGAAACCATAGGAATTCACTATTGAGTGATGAATGTGTTGACTGTTTAAAAATATTGATTCCAAGTGGATTTAATTGAGCATTGGAATCTGTTTCGATAGTTTGAATTATTGTATCTATATTATTAATGCTCCCTTTGGCTTCATAGAAATAGACTCGAGCTCTATTTGAAATATATGGAATATCAGTAATAACATAAATTTGATTATCATCTTCAACATGTTCCATATATTTATTGGATGCATCAGCATTATCAAATATTTCTACATAATCAATAATTTTTCGAAGTTGATTCAATCTAGTTTGATCAGGGCCAGCGGTTAACCAGATCAAAGTCGACGATTCCAAATTACGTTTGCGTCGTATGTCATTCATGGAATCTATAGATTTTATTTAAGCTGGAAAATAATGTCAATGAACAATTACTGCAGTGAATGACAAATGTTTATAGTGATTAGTTATTGTTTGCCACCGGCAATTTTATAATGCAGGTGAAGTTAGCAGCGGATTCGAATAATTCCAGCATCGATTCGTTCCAGAACATGTTCCAAAGCTCCTATTCTTGTTCCAAGTATAACTCGATGAGCTCTATCCAATGGTATACTCAAATTTTTGATAGCACAAATTATAATTTTTAGATTCTCACTAGCGCCGTCTCACAAAAATCATACTTTGGACTTAAAAATCTGAGCATACCATCAGATAGAGCTCATCGAGTTCTACTTGGAACAAGAATAAGAGCTTTGGAGTATGTTCCGGAACGAATCAACGCTGGAATTAGTCGAATCCGCTGTTAACTTCACCTA